ACGCACCGGGGCAACCGGCTCTTAAGGGCTCCAGCTATTCACACGCAGTTATATATATATATATAGATGTTCATAGTTAGATGTACATTGTGAGTCCTCAAATACCGTGTACATGTTGAAGTGAGTGTGGATGGGTGCAGTAATCACGCATTCTTCTCCGAGTCGTCAAGTTGTTGTCCTAATGACCAAATGGAATCTGGTGTAGCAAATGCAAGTGCAATGAGGCTTGTGTAAGCACTTGTTGTGGTGCTTCGCATGTTTTTGGCAGCTTACGCATCATGAAAAAGCAGACAGATGCTGAGTGGTGAACATCACCACTCCTTGTGCGTTTGTTTGTTCCTTGGCTTTCCCACAAGCCCAGGAAAGGAATACAAGAACCGCTTCAACCAGAAGATTGCCATTGGAGAGTGCAAGCCGATCCCGGGCAAAGTGCTGAACGAAAAACGTGTCTTGGGCAGCAAGAAAAATCCCAGGCAATCCATGGGACGTCCGAATATGTACTAGATTTTACTAGCATTGGGCGGATTTAAGATGTTTTAGGGGTCAATATAGTTGTAGTAAACTGGTTTTTGGTGTTTCCGAACTGGGTGAATCCCAAGAGTGACTGGACAGCAAATATGTCCTGCATGACTGAAATACTGTCGAAGCCGGCCCATGTGTTGTCGATTGAAGCAAATCGCTTGCAGAAGAAGATCCTTCCGTGCCCCTCCGTGCCAGAAACGTGCCGATGTCGGTTTGACCTGCCCCTGCCCAGAAGAAGTGGTGACACCTGCTATGACAGAGTACTTGCAGTACCGCGTCAACGATGGGGACTACCTTTGTGCGGAGGAGCGAACTGCCGCCGACCCGGAGCGGTAGGAAGGATCGGAGGGCCAACAGCGCTGGTGCAATCTGCGCATGATGCGTGCGTGTGGCGAGTTTTGGTTGGTTTATATAAGTGTTGTTTTGCTGTATATGTGCGCGAGTTACTGTGTGTGGTGGTGGCATGTATTTCAAGCATGTGTGTTGAGAGTTGTGAGGGCTGAAAGACGACACAAGACATTCGGAGACAGATCAACATAACATGTTTAGTTGTGAAGTTGTGAGTGAGGTGTGATGTTGCATGGTGATCTCAGGTGACTATAAGCAGATTAATTTGTTGATGTTGACTTGTAGGATTTCTAGATGGTTACCCATGGCATACATGAATTCAGTGCACAGATCTTTAAGTAGTTCCAAAGCAGGAGGCAATTTGCCATAGCTCAAATATATATTTCAACAGATTGATTGAGAAGGGAAGTAAGATGCTTGCATCTTCGTTGCATGACCACGTCTTCTTTGTCGCTGTCGCCGCGGAAAAAGAACAACCGCACCGACTCCGCGTTCGACCTGTCACCGTCGTGACGGCACGGGGACCCGATGCGGTCGAAGCGGTCGGTCGCTGCAGGATTTCTTTTCATGAAGTGTGCTCTCAAGATGTTTTTACCGGGAATATTAACTAACTCAATTAAATTAATATATATATTATATATATATATTATGTTTCTTCCATATGCTGAAGGTCGGAGATTCTCACTGGTTCATATGTAGGCTTAGCCTATAGGGTTATCCATGTTATCCTAAGTCAAAGTGACAGACAACGCTTACGGCACCCGGCCGTGAGGAGTGTCGCGTCAAGCCGGCGGGGATGAGCGGATATCCCGACAAGGTCTATCGCACGGGAGGGGCGCCTGGGCATTGAAAAAGAAGCACATGCCGAACTAGTCACGAAAGGTAGCTTGAGATTGCCTGGTTACTTGTGATTGCCTGCCACCGAACTCGTGTCTGGTGGTTTTTCGCCTCAAAAGCGGCTGTTTTGGGGCTCCAAGTTCCTCTTTCTGTGGTGAGGCCAGCAACAAAATCCGCCCTCCTCCGGTCCGTGTCGGTGGCGCGGGGCACGGAGCATCGAGTTTTTGGGTTCCCAAGACTGATGATGCATCAATGATCCGTGATCCCATCCAGACTGGTGGGTTTTCAAGAGTGGCGGGCACATGGGTCAAAAAGTGTCAAGACCTGGTGGAGATCGTTTATGGAGGGGCTTGGCTTGGACTGGTTGCAGCTGTCTTCCATTTCATGCAGCTTCTTCGTGCTGTTTCGGAGTTCTCGATTGGCCACGGGCGCCAGCAGGTGCCCAGCTGCCAGCTGTTGAAATAGAAGAACTCGGAAATGGAGCTGTTTCGGGCTGGTCCATACCAGATACTGCACCATGGAACTTGCTCTATAGGCTGGTCCTCGCCAGCATACCATGAGTCCTGACGGACTGGAGGGCCACTCCTGGTGACCGGTGAACACCGGGACCTCCGCTCGCCAGAGGTGACTGAAGGGGTGAGATGCACCTATGAGGGTGACCTCCGGCTCAAGCGGACGTACCGGCCCAGCGGTGCGGGAGCCAAAGCGAGCGTCGACGTGGAGCCGGGGGCAAGGGTGGCCCGGTGGAAGAAGTCTGCGAGGGAGGGCAGGGCGGGTATGGTTTGGTATACATTTCACAATGTCCAAGACGTTTTTCAAGGTGGATGGGCCTCAAAGGAATAGTTTATAGGTCCTGAACACGTGAAGCGAAGGATGGGCACCCTGTTCTTCAATACCCATTCCTTGCAAACACCCAGCCGGAATTCCTCTTGATTCTTATAGACATAGACCAAATGACACAATTGACCAGATCCATGTCAAGACGCTCATGTTCGCCATGTTCCTTACAGTTCATTCAGTAACCTGGGACCTCATCACCATATGGTTCAGTGCTTGGCAGGTTCATGTTGGTTCCTGAAAACCAATCCTAGTCAACCCATCGCCACGTTCCTGCCCAGCGTTCCGGGCCTCGCCCTTCGGCCCTTCGGTCCGCCAGGTCCGACGTTGGGACAGCAAGTGGCACGAGACAAGGCGAGAAAGGCAGCGACGCAGAAGAAGAAGAAGAGCGGATGGCACCTGGGCGAGTGTTCAGAGGAGTTTTGGATCACTTGAGGTTTGGCTGACTGGGCTGGCAGGCTTGGCTGTGTGATTTGGTGGGATGAACGTCCCTATTGATGAATGGCTTATAATGGCTTTGAGCGTTCAAAAAGTACTTGGTGGGGTATACTGTGGCTGCTTGCTAGGTTTTAGACTTCGGGATGAATCGTTGTTTCTTTCCTGCTTGGACCTGGGTGTGTGCGTTGAGATTCATGCGTCGCCTTAGACGGGAATGAGTCATTCCCAATGCAGCATGACCGGAGGGATGGGGACCGTGATGGATGTTCTGATGGATGTTCCGTAACGGTCGGTTTCTTGGTGAAGTGGCAGAGCTGGCGGATTCAGTAGATGTCTCTCATACAAGAGTATTGGGTCAACGGATGAGCAGCACCGTAGCTAGATGCTAGTTGCTCCGGCTGACAGCGGATTAGTAGATGTTAGGTTGCTTAGGAATGTATCATTGGTGCTGCACCTCGACGAACGAAGCAGCACATCATATGAAACATTATGAAACAATCCCTGATACCCTCAAGCGCCCAAAAGGGTGGCTGTGCCTTCGTGGGGTCGACAGACCGAGCCCTCACAGGACTGCTCTTTCGTTGGGTAGTGGTTTCCTTTGTGGGGCCATATCTCCCCCCAAAAGAGATGCGATAAGAGTCCAAGGCCAAGGCTTTCTCTCAGTTTGCGTGGGGAAAGTTTGCTGAATGTTGTGCTGTGTACTACCCAGGAGGGACAGCACATCAGCCATGCTTCTCATAGCAAAACATGGGAAGGACACTCCTTGATACTCCTTGATATTTTGGTCATTGATTGGTATTGGTACACTCCAAGCCTGATCAAAAATGAACCATCTCATTTCCAATTGCCCTTGCAAGTTCGATGTTCAACTGAGGTTCGGATGAAACAGCCTGTCCCCATGCGTTTATCTACGCGAAAGTACGGCCAGCCCTGTTTTTCTCCACCTTTCCGTGTGCGAGCGAAAATGGACGCCGTGTTGAACGATGATTGAGCTGTTTGCCTGAAGAAACACTCGAGTACCCACTCACACGGAAATGGAACATGGTCCCTTGAACTTGGAAGAGCACTTTCCTCTAGGAATAGTGGCTGGTGATGGCTGATGGTATTCCACTGCCATTGAGTGAGTCAGAGTTGTCCATCATGTACCCAATATATCAATATGTTGGTCCAATACGAAGGGCCGTGCTTGTTGTGAAGCAATAGATTTGGCAACCACAATGTGGGGGTTGCTTGTCATCGTGGAAGCTGTTCTGAGTTGTGCTGTGGGGGAGGCCCGTGGGCAGGGTGGATTCCGATTCCTGGGTCAAAAAACAAAAGCGTTGCAGCTACAAACGGAGTGTTGGCTCGAGTCCAAACAGTACACAGACTGATTGGAGGACATGGAACCAGCCCGTGCCGCAAGTTGTCCAACCATTGCTAGGTAAGCCCTAAGAACCTTAAGGTTTGGTGGTTCTTACTCCAGACACTGGCAACTCAACTGTATACTCACTCACTGACTTTGGTGGCGATACTGATACTCGTATGCAGATAGCCCTGAACTAGTATACTCACTGTTGCGATCCCCATAGTGCTCGGCTTGAGCACTCCACCGAAGACAAAGACATCATGTTCAGCTTGAGGCCTTGAGCACTGGCAACTTATGGGCCTTCGTTACCAGTATCGATGCTGATAGACATAGTGCACTTTCTCATACTTTCTGTTTTCCCTGAAACTCAGTACAGAAGTGAAGATATCAGTAGACAGTAGATAGTAAACAAAAGCTCAAGTACATAAACTCTGTTGTGCTAAAGTAAATGGTGTTTCTTTTCACGAATAAAGGAGACTGGAGGATACTGGAGGTAAGTTCGTACCTTTCCAAGCGAATTGTACGAGCCTAGTTCCCAGCCGACGATGGGGCTGAAGAGCCAAAGACAGAAGGAGGCGAGAAAGGAGACCTGAAAGGGTGGGGTTCGGTGCCAGGAAGCGCAGTGGTAGGACTGCTTTTCGGATGGCCAACGGCCTCCAATGGCGATGGCCTCCAACTTAGCGGCTTTTCTGTCAATCATGTTTTCAACTCTCCCAGAACTGACATGGCGTTTTTGTGAATGCCAAGGCCAAGAGTTTGGCCAAGAGATTCGAGAACATGTCGCTGTTGACTCCGTTGGAGGGACGTGAATCGTCGACCGGTGGGCATCGGTCGAACAGGTGGCGACCGTTTGCTGAGGTGGGCGGCTACTGCGCCGGCCCCGGCACTTAGAGGATGTCAGAATGAGACTTCGATGAACACCGTGATGTGTCGTGTAATTAGGGGGTGTAAATAAAGACATGGTGTTCTTTTTTCTGGGGCTCTGGGGCTTGTGACATGTGAGGAATTGGATAGACCGCCCATACCTCACATGGTGTCTTTTGACCTCGACGGAGTTCATCCGGACCGAACGGTCGACTGACCGACCCGACCTTCGCGTCACGATGACCCGTTGTTCGTCGTCGATCCTAGGAGCTCAAGAGGACCTTGCGCGCCTCAGAGCTGTGCCCCCACTGCGCGGGGGCTTAGAGCTGGGATGCCGTGAGGGGCCTTCTGCTCCAGGATCTGGGAGGGAATGTGTCAGGATGTGTCAGGCTTCGCCAGGGTTGTTCTGATTTGCCCCAAAGATTCGAAGTAGTGACCTCTCAGTGACCTCTTTTTGAAGTGCGTCGACCTAAGCAGGTGTCGAGTGGGCCATTTTGGCCGCTCCAGGTACTGTTCCAACCACCCAACAAATCCCAACCAACAAATCCCGGTGCTGCAAGGTCGGAAGAAAGTCACCGACCTGGAGGAACACCTGAAAAGCCAACACTCCATCAGCTGCTTGGACATTCACTCCGAACCCTTCGCGACCCGGACCATTGCGGTTCGGGGCGGGACGCATCCACCGTTGATCGACAGTCGCTGTGGCTTCCAGAGCTAAAAGACCTAAGGGTTTGATCGACAGTCAGTGCTACTTCACTCAGTTGCATATCATACAAAAGATTAAAGCGTTGGGAAGGATCACAGGATCAGAGGAGGCAGAAGTTTCGCCTGCAAATGACAAAGAAATTGCAGAACTGAGCTTTCATCAAGGAGTTACCGGTAAGGGTGCGAATTCCTGTGCCCCGTCCCAGTCCTTTGCCTCCTTTGCATTTGCGAGAAACCTTGCCCAGATCAGGGTTTTTAACCTCAGGTTGCGTGAAGTGCGGGCAGCACTTTAGGCACGGGATGGTGGCATTCTGATTGTGACATGGGTCAGGTAAGGTGTTGATTTTGTGTTCTACAACTGTGCCTGGCATACATGCATAGTCAGGCTCTATAGCAATAGCAAAACTGGTTAGCAGCAAAAGCACGCCGTGATCAAACACGGGCAGAACTTGAGCAGTCTCTTTAGCACGAGCATTTGTGTTTGCCTTGTGCTGAAACTTGCCCATTTTTTCTTGTAGGTATGACCTACTCTTGAATGAAATGAAGCACGCCCTGACTAAAGCACAATCAATCATCCGTCTTTGTCTTTGCGAACTACTTCGGGGGTAACACATTTGGGCGTGAGCACGCGACCGTATTTACAGTAGGTGATGTGAGTCGGGGGTGCCACAACAATTCCCTCGCACGGTGGGCATTCATTGGTGAATGGCTGGTTCGACTCCATTGACCGACGAATACCTGCCTTGTTACTAGTAGCTTCTTGTTTCTAGTAGTAATGGCCTCCAACCTAATAGCGATGGCCTCCACCCTAGTAGCGATGGCCTCCTACCTACTAGCTTCTTGTTTCTAG